TTTCTGAATTCTATCGAGATGGACCCAAAACAGCCGTGGCTGTCGTACTTTGCGTCAGATGAAATTCTAATCTACCGTATTTTCCTGTCAAGCCATTCATCGTATTCAGGTAATATGAAAATTAAAGATACGTTTTTGCCAAATTTAGCATTTTGGTAACTGTATTTTCCATTGCTCTTCTAAGTAATATATATTTTCTTCTTTTTTAAACTGCACTAATAGTTTTATCGGCATTATATTCTCCGCTTTCCTTTAGATCGCAGATTCTCTCGTATGACAACGGTCTCCTACATTCAGCAAGTAGAAAATACCGGAGGTATTCTTTGCTAGGATAGATGGCAGCTTCCAGTGAATATCCGTACGAATAACTACAGGTAATCTACATAGTATAGGTTTTAATGCTTTTGATTGACTTTATTAGTTTGACTTTTTCTTTTTCCAAGGTACATAGACCAAAAAATGGAGCAACCAATATAGTAAATCGATAAATTACATTAGCAAACAGTTCCTCTTAGGCTCACGAAGGACCTCGGAGGTTGGGCATCAGTCCAGATAATGCACCAGATGCTCTAGTCGCTTTAAATTCATAGCATAAGAGAATGCGGCACAAAAGTGAGTCTATGATCTAATATTATGCTAAAATATTTAAAGGATTGACAAATATCTACCTTATCATTATTGATAGTAAAAAACATTTTCCGTTAGATTATAAGCTTTCTTCAGAGAGTAACTATGACCTTAGTCCTTACTTTGCAGCCACTTTTAATCCAAGGCGTTGTATTCTGATAATTACTCTGTGTAATTTCGAGTGAAGCTCTTGAGATTGCCAGTCCTGGACATCCGTTGCAGCTGTTAGCAGCAATGTATCATCTGCATAACACGTCATGCAAGTTGATCATCGAACTTCATGTCCAGCACAGAAAATATCCTACATTCCAAAGAAGAGGACCTAAAACAGAGCCCCTGAGGAACTCCACATTCAACAGTTTTATAGTTTCTACACCTCCTTTAACCGGGTAGGCCAATAAGTCTATCATGTAGATACGAATCTATTAAACCTTCTAATGTAAATTGGGGATATGCTTGTTTTTAAGTGCTGCTCGAATAGTTCTCCAAGGAATAGAGTTGAATGCGTTCTGTATGTTCGAGGCTTATAGCAACCATTACCAAATTCATGAGAGAAGGCATCTTCAATTATGTTAATCACTCGTCGTAGAGCATCTATTTGTTGATTTATTTTTCAATAAAACCATACTGATGGACTGATAGTGCGTATTGTGGATTTTTCGCAGAGCCATTGAGTGATTTTTCTTGCTGATCAGACGTTCAATCAGCGCGCTTTACTAATGAATCTCGTCTAGAACACAGATGGGACGAGATTTTGGAATACCCATCATGTTGTCTTCACTCTGTTTAGGAATAAGCACCAATCTACCTTTTTTCCATTCCGCAGGGAAGACACCATCGGAGATACATTTGTTATACATTAAGGTAAGAAGCTCGATAAATTCATCAGGGAATAATTTCATAATCTTGTCAGGGATGCCATCTAAACCAGGAGCTGCACCTTTAGATGTTTTTTCCCCTTATCTCTTTATCAACTTCCGCACATGAGACACCCCATTGATCACTCATCTATAGTTATGGCCATAGAAGGCTAGGATTATGTGTAGTGCCCGTGGGAATAGTGCATCGAGAATTGAATCCCGTTCTTCACTACTTATCCAGTTCTGTTAAGGCTGGGGAAGATTTCCTCAGCTTTACTCATTACGATTTTGAATGGAAGTCCCCAAGGATCTTCATCTATAATTAGAAGTAATTCATTCCAAGCATTAATTTTAGCCTGAGTTATTTTATTTCGTAATTCAGCTTTCAATGTTTTAAAATTTTCTCGTAAATTTAATAGAGTACGCTCATCAAAATCATCTTTATTACGCTTTCTATTATATCGAGTCCATGCTCGTCGAGCAGAGAGCGTGTTTCTTCTAGTATCTTCTATTTCCGAGTTCCACCAATATGAGGATCTCTTAATATAGTTATTACTTTTCTTCTTAGCAGTAAAGTCGGCTGCATCCGCAAGAATCTGTTTAATCTTCTCAGATGCAGCATTGAGATCTATAGCACCTTTAGAGAGCTCACTCATGATTTCCGGGATACGCCATATAATCGCAGCACGAAAGTCTTCTTCATTGATTTTCTTCCAGGACCATGTCTTGATGTATCCACTATGGATTTTGTTAACAGATATTCTAGTCTTTTTCCTAGTCATTTTAGGTGAGTTTCTAGTCATATTTACACTATTTACATTACCGTTGCTAGTCATATTTACACTATTTACATTACCTTTTCTAGTCATATTTACACTATTTACATTTGTCGTACAAGTATTTATTTCGTAATATATGTAATAGTGATCTGATAATGTCTCTTTATGAGTTAGGACTTTCCAGTTGTGGACAAGGCGAACCATGCCAGCAGTACACAATGTTACGTCAATTACAGAAGAACCCTGCGGTCGAACACATGTCGGGGACGATCCTTGATTTAATATACACAAGTCTCTTTCTGAGATCCAATCTTCGAGTAGTCTCCCCCTTGAGTTCGTATTAAGGGAGCCCCACATTGGAGACTTCGCATTTAGATCTCCTGCAATTATTGCAGGTTTATTCAAAGAGTCCACAATATCCGATAAATTGTCAAAGTATTCCAGTGTTTCAGCTCTATCCCAGTTAGGAGATAAGTAGCAAGAAATTATTGTTAATTCACCAAAATCAACAGCTACTATTCCCGGCAAACTTGTTCTGGGAATCATAAGATATCCAGAGATTTCTGGTCTATGATAAATACCACTGAGGCCATCGGAGCTAAGTGCCCATTGTGTAGTAATACTTCTTTGTACTGGCATTTCAGATATAAGGCATACTGCAATATCATTTTCCATCGCACTTTGGAGGAGGAGATTAAGTGCTGGCCGACTTCTATTTATATTACTTTGCAGTATTTTCATCATCCTTGTATTGTCTTGTTACTGGCCTCCGATCCAGATTCGCGCTTGTCACTTTATTCTTAGCTTCCTCTTCACAGAGATAGGAACCAGTTCGATGTCTGGAACTCAGTCCTTTAGCTTCGCAGAGAATACAATGTGCTTGGTTGGTGCAGGAAGCAGCTGAATGCCCATCTTTGCCACACCTAAAACATGCACGCGATCTATCCACTGTAGATTTACAGGCATTTTGATTATGCCCAAGTTCCCAGCACTTGAAACACCTCATTTTCCTGGGTCTTTGGAGCTCCAGGCGTGCATACGTCCATCCAAGTGGGATTTTTCCTGCTTTAGCCGCAGTGATCGCAGCATTAATAGGGCACTTAATCCAGGACATACAGAGTCCATTTCTCATAGGGAGTATAGGTGTAACTGTTACCTCCGTTAATTTGCAGCCGCCTATCTTAGCTATGCTAGCTGCAATTTCCGATGCACCAACAGACTCATCGAAGCCGACAACTCGTATCTCACCTGTTACTTCTGGGGTTGTGACAGCTGCTGAGTCCCCGAGAACTTGAATGGCTCGAGTACGGAGTTCCTTAGCAAGATCCTTGCTGTCAGTCCCAGGAATTTCAATGAGGACTGCGCCATTAGACGTCTTTTTAATTCTGGTAGTATTAATTCCAATTTCTTCTAAGGGGATTTGCCTTCTTAATTGAACTAAGGCATCTGCATATGAAAAGTCCGGGGACTTTCCTTTAACAATAACAGCAGACGCCTTAGGAATCTTTTTCTGCATTATCTGTACCACGCTTTTTCCTCTATTTTGATCCCTGGTGACAGAGTCCTTTTTTCCTTTGTTTATATTTTCTTTGTCACTTGGGACATCACTATCTGTTTTATTTCCAGCTGTCTTTTTATATCTCTTTTTCTTTTTCTTTCTTGACACTTTCTTCCATTCTCCTTTGCTATCATATCCATCTGTTTCTTCTTCTTTCTTATTCTTCTGTATATCACTAATCTCTTTTTCTTTTTCTTTTTCAGGTGCGGCGGATCCAGTGGGACCAGGACCATCAAGGGAACATCGATTGTCTTCGCCAGGAATGATCACCGGATCTTCAACGTGGGAGTCCATCGTATCTTTAGGTAGGTTAGTCACAGGTAAGTTATTTATAGTCTTTTTATTATCATTATCATTAAACTTAGGATAAGCTTTAATTATAACTCTTTTTTCAGGGCTAATTTTCTCGATACTCTTAATTATAGGTTTCACCCTTGGCTGCCTCTGTGGAAGAGGTTTGAGCTCAGGAAATTCTTCAGGAATCTCACCTTTCTTCATGTTAGACTCGAGCATTTCTAACCTCATCTTCATCTTTAAGATTTCATCCACAATTGTATTAGACGCTTCTGTTTGTATATTATATTCTGTATCATTAGTAGATGTTCCAGTTTCTCGTGTCTCCTTAACAGTTTCCTGGGAACTTGTCTTAATATCCGTGTTATATTTTTTCTCCAACTCAGTGATTTGTGTTTTTAATTGCATGTTTTCCTTTTGTGCAGCTTGAAGATCTGCAGCAAGCCTTGCATTTCTCAATTTTAACTGTGAGGAGTCATTAGCACCCAGGGATTGATTATGCAACGCCTTAAAACACGCCGAGATCATCTCTAGGCGTTCTTTGACTCTTTTACTAATCATCCCTTGAAAGGAGCTCTTAATTCGAATTATCTCGATATCATCCACCCATTCAAGGGCTTGAGCAACTAAGTTAGGTACGGAACACTCATACAGCTGCTCCGCATCGATTAAAGGGTGGAGCTTATCCGCAATAGGAGATGTCCTCTTTTTCCTTGAAATAATCTTTTTCTTTTTTGAAGTTACAGATGCCTGTCCTTTGGCTATATCGCTACCAGCATCAGTTTCTAGGACAGTTGTATTATCCGTATCATCTGCTGTCGAAGCAACATGCATCGAGGAATCATCCATTTGCGAGGTAAGCTCTGCGTCTTTTTCTTTAGAGTCATTTTTAAAGCCATTTTTAGAGCCATTTTCATTTTTAGAGCCATTTTTAGAGCCATTTTTATTTTTATTTTTATTACTAACACAAGCTTCAATGACTCTCGTCTTTCTACTGCGTAATCGTGTGCTTATACCATTATCAGATTCTTCAATATCAGAGTCGGAAGGAATAGGATTCCGACCCCTTTTTCTTTTAACCATTTTAATGGAATCACCAATCGACGTTGTAGAATTCATGGAATTCATAGAAACCATAGAAACCATGGATGCAGAATCTTCTTGAGGCAAGTACACGGAGTCCTCTTGAGGCAAGTACACACTATTAAGCAGAGCATCCTCCTCTACATTTGTGATTCCAAGAGGAGCCATAAGAGGATTAACTTCACATACAAGCTCACAAACAAGCTCTTCATAAGATTTTGCAGTAGCATCTACATCTCCAATTGGAGCCTCGGCAGAGACTATGGATTGCTCCTTATCAACAGCTTCACTTCCATCTTGAACTGGAACAAGATCTTGAATTGGAAGAAGATCTTGAGCTGAGGGAAGATCTTGGGATGGAACAAGATCCTTAAACGTCAGTATAGGACTCAATCCTTGCACCGAGTCCAACACAGGCTCCGGTAAAGCGGATCCAGAGCTTCGACCATCTCCCACTTCTTCTTTCTCCTCCTCTCTCTCTTTCAATGGGTTTTGTTTAAGGAAATTCATGATTATAGGATTTCAGGATTATGACGGTTCGCCCATCGTGGGAACCCCACCGCGGTGGGGTTACTATCCCCGCCAGTACGTTTAACCTAGCAAAAGTGAACGACAACCGAGAAGCGGCTTTCAGGTGGCCAACCCTAGTCGTTCACGGTGACTCTACTAAAAAGGTTCCTGGAGAGGGCCAGGTCCACAAATGATGTTAAAGGTTTAACGTCACCCCTATCGAATGGGCCCCGTGGATCCGAACCACGGGTAACCCAGACCTCGGGCTAGACGGTGCCGGGATTTACCCTACCCGGCTCCGGGTATGAGGAAATACTGGCCAGGTAATCCTCCACACACGCGCCCAGTTACCCAGCTTCAACCCCGGCATAGGCTCGGTGGTGCAAGGGGAGCGGTTTTCCCACGTTTAACATAGCCCTTCAGGTGGTCTTTGCCTGGACAAGTCCAGGACTTATGCACCCACGTCTTCCAGGCCAGAGGTCAGGTACAGACTTCACCCTTGCAACCACCGTCGGGGGGGCTACTACTCCCCCCCTTGGTTAGTCTACCGGGAATATCCACCGGGGCCGGCCGCGTCCCATTCACACACACATTCACACACACACCCATACATGGCTATTGGAAAGAAGGGAGCCACCCTTACGAAGAATAAGAGGGGGATTTGGGGACAATGGGGAGGAAAGGATGGGAAAAAAGGGGTTGGAACACATGCGCAAGACGCGCCATTCACACATACACACTCACATTCACACACCAGGAATTGGAGATCCGGGGTCCAAGGGGAGGAAAAGGAGGTAAGGTAGGGATGGGTAAGAGAAGCAGAGAAGGGATGTATGGGGATAGGAGCATGAACGGGGGATACAAGAGGATTGGGGTGTTTTTCCACCCTTAACGGGATCCTCAACCCGGGCGATTGCAGTCAGGGCCGCCTACCCCTATGCGCATCAGGCCAGAGTGCCCGGAGGGAGCGCAACCCCCCTTCCTCCCCTTCCGGGGAGGGAAGTGCAATGCAGGCTCTTGGTCACCGCCCCCCGGTCCCCGGGCCCCCCCGACACGAAAGTGTCGAGGTGGGGGCCCGAGAGACCCACCGGGCCCCCCCCGACACCTAGGTGTCGAAGTGGGGGGCCCGATGGGCCCGGAGACCGGGGGGCGGCTAAGCCCCTCCACCACGTCAAGGTGGCCTGCAATCGGAGGAGTGCACCCTTCAAAGAGGGCCGAAAACAAGGTCCGTAACGCTGCGGGTCCAAGTGCATCTGGACCACGCACGCCGGCCACCCTGCCCACTAATTTTTTCCCCCTCTGCCGGGGGACCACCACTGGTGGTGTCCCCCCAGGTGTCCAGCCACCCAGGGGGACCCAGATGATTCGCGTGTGCCTTCGCTTGTTTTAGAGTGGGGTAAGGCAGGCCCCCACTAGGTAGACTCCTGTATTGAGAGATGTGCCTTCCTCTCGACCGAGCTCCCCTCATTTTAATTAGAGGGGCCCTCTCACCTAGGCAGAATCGGCAGAGAAGTATCGCGTCGACTACTACTCGGGGGGACGCCAGCCCCGGCGTTTGGTCGACGGTCCCGCTCGATCGCTAGGCCGGCACACCGCCCGTTCAGGCACTAACCATTTGACCGAGGTGATCACATTGGAGATACACCTCGGCACCGCAGATGCCTCCGCGTTTTCCGGCTGGAGGAAGGCATACCCCACCTTGTGGATGAAAGGCTTGGGACCACCCAAGTCTGCTGATGTTCCCGGGTCCCACCGACCCTATCCGTATGAGCACCCAAGTACCCGCTGAGCCCAAGAACCGAAGTTCCCCGGTTCCACCGACCCTATCCGAATGGAAACCTACAGACCCAGCAAAGCACTAAAGGGACACCAGCAGACCATTACAGTGGTCCCCTCACCCTCATCGACCCTGCCCGTGTCCCTGCATCCGACTTTTTATACAGGAGGAATGCAGACTCCTGTTGAGATATGTCAGCCTCGGGGTCAGCGACCCGTCACTTGACATGCCTCGCCACTCGACGGCATCCGTGACTCGAAATAAGCGTGCATCCGATTTTTCCGGAGGGTGATGCACTAACCCTCGCTGCATCTCCTACCCGACGCGAGCTAACCTGAAAAGAAAAACCTGAAAGAAAAATAAGAATTAGCTTAAAACTAACTTAAAAACTACCTTATAACTAACTTAAAATTAACTTAAACTAACTTAGAACTAACGAAAACAAAAAACGCT